AACATGAAGAAAATAAACAATGACTGCGACAACATATGGTTTTATCTGTGCTCTTCAAGCCATCTCGGGTATTTTTATAAGAATAAAGTATATTTAAAATGCAATGCTAATCGACATAGCCTTTATCACTGTAAAGTGGCATGATTTCTGCCTCATTCTGTTTAATGAAACCATGTCAGATCACAAAAATAAGTTATTTCAAATACTCGACTGATGTTGTGAAGTGAATTTTGACTAAAACATATCATTATACTTTTGTTGGACAACAGGTTTGTAATCTTTCCTTGTGTTTTCATGGTAACCAATTAGCAAGATAGGCTAACATACAAAGCCAGTTAGCCTTAATTAACAATCAAATTAATTCAGCATATTAATATGTTGTATTACCATGTTGACTCTGATTGGACGGTGGAGAGGGACTCATGTTTATGTAATGATCTATTTAAATGAAGATATCTCCAAATACATTCTCACTAGTTCTTTATGAGGTTGAAGATATCTCCAAATGAACAGGGAGTCGTAGTTATTCTGTTTTTGATATCATCTTTTTTATTTCTGACTAGTAATTATTGCAATAGTGACTAGTATCTATTTAAATATTACTAGTAAGCATTCATTAGATACTAGTACTTATTTTTTAGATACTGGTACTTATTCACTAGAAACTAGTACCTATTTAATAGATACTAGTAGTTATTCATTAGGTACTGGCTTGGGCGATATGGCCAAAAAAATTATCACGAAAATTATCACGATCATTTTTTCATATCAGTCGATATCGATAATTATCACGATAAATGTCAAATCTTTATTTCTTTCCAAAGTGAAAGTTGTAGAAACCAGACCATTAATTTTCCTTAACATAATAAATATCTAAATAGAAAAAATAATTTCTTAGTTTCTGCGTGTTCTAATGAGTGATATTGTTTCAAATCAAGAAACAGGTTTGGGTTGCCTGATAATATTAATAATAATTATATCACTTTTTGTCTCTTAGAAATGCACATTTGATAGTAGCTTGAGTTAGGATGCAGAGGTAAATTTGTGTTCATTATCAAAATCAGTAACATCTGTAAAAATTGTAGCAACCTCAATTTATTCTGGTTAAATTTATTCTAAATGTATTCAAGTTTTTATTTATTTATTTATTTTTTAATTAAGCATCGGTCTCCCATAGTAACATACATCATGATACTTAAATCATGATAAACACAGTTAAAACCACACATATAGCACCTCAATACCATGGTAAAAATATAACTATATGGTTTTTAGGTAGCCTATTTGTATGAAAAACAGTAGTCTAAAAACATTCAGTATAAATGCACACATGCTATAGCTCAATCACAAATACATACTACAATTATATATCATTACTCCTTTAATAAAATTCAGTGTGAATATCCCAAATTTCTGCCACAATACCATGGTGCAGTGAGTGTTACTACA